GAAACAAACAGAACCCGTTTCTAGAACTTCCCTTACCTTCAAGGAAACCGGCTACGAAGAAAAAACTGCTTTATTTGGCGCTTTCCAAGAGACTAAAGCTTCCGGGAATCTTTTTTTGGTTTGGAATGCGGAGATGTTTGTTTGATAGTCCAAAATGCTTGGTTTTGGGTTTTGTCATCCAAACTGTAGGCTTTCAAAATGTTGGTCTTGCTATTTTCGTCATCAGTTGGACGAAAGTGTTCCAATAACTTTATCCGTCATAATGTAACTTGGGGGGATTTAGAATTAAATTAATTTAATTAAAGCCCCGATCCGTCCCCCCCCCCCCCCGGCAAAACCCCATCCCCCCCCCCCCCCCCCCGGCAAATGGAGCTTGTAATCTGGAAGGGAGGGGAACATTGGGGGGGGGGGTACCCATGCAATACCGCAATACCGTTTAAAACAAATTGGCAAATACCGAAATACCTTGTCAAAAATCGACGAAATACCGACTGACCGCATTTATGATCAGTCACGTTTACTTAAAGCTTTATCCATCTCGCGTGTTTGGTTACCTCAACCATGTATGTAGCAGAAATCAACCTCAGACATTGTCAGAAAACGTGAGAAGACCTTGATCGGTAGAACGTTCGAAAAGCCCGGTCATTGGATGCCCTTCCAATTTCGTCATAGATTTCTTAAAGAATCCTTAAACATTTACCATTAAGTCTCAAGTCTTAAAATGTTAACTTTTATTAATCTGTTTACCTTACTGTTGGTCAGTAGTTGCAAATTGTATTGACCTGTATTAGACAGGAGAGCGCAAATAGATGGTACCGCGATACCGTGAAGGATGATCTTCTTTTACCAAATACCGTTAACCAAAAGGATGATAAACCATACACCGCAGGGCTAGATACCGTAACTGATGTCCCCCTCGGAAAGTTATTAGCTGGACATTTATCCAGCTGGCACATCCAGATAGCACTTAACGTAGGGAATAGGATATTACATGACCGCAGATCGATGACCAAGCAGATGGCAATATAGCCGTTCAGGAAAAATTGAAATGATTTGCCGGAATTGACTTCCCCCGGAAGAGCTCACAGGGATGAGTGAGGATACAATAAAGTGAACAACTGAAACTATGACCAGCTTGCCCTGAAAGAAGAGTGCTTAGCTTCGAATGAAGAACGAATGGAGTTCGAGGGTTCGACGAGCGGGGGGAATACTGAGTAGAGAATCGACCTGCAAGCGCGCGTTGACTCTTTCGGGGCAAAGAGCAATTTTATTTGTTGTTGTTGTGAAATTTTGCCGCGTAGGCCAATTCGAAGTGAAACCGTTATTTTTGTTTGTTTTCCAAGAAAATTAGATTTCTGGGTCATTTTTTTCTCCGGATGTCAGAAATTGTTTCTTCGAAAGGAAGTAGATCACTGTTGCTTTACTGCTCAGTGTTACATTATAAAAAAACCGAGTTAAAAAGTGCTTCTATGACTTTGTCAAAGAGGGACTCTGATAATGATCAGAGAGAAAACAGTTTCAATACTGAAAGGCTCATGAACTCATAGCCCCTTTTTGTGGGATCTCAAAACAGCGCTATCAACAGCAGGTGATCAAGGCGATATTGCAATGCAGTTAAATATAACAACATACCCCCTCCCCCGGTAATAACAATGGCACGTATTGGAAGGAAGAAAACTAAGTGATGTTGACACTTATTAAGAGTTTAAAAGACACTGGACATAAATATATTGGATGCTTGGAGAGACTGTAATGAAGGATTGTGAAAGCGGTTAGAGTTTTCTGATGCCCAACCGGCCGAGCTAAGTATTTTCAGTACGGCAGTTTTTCTCTATAATATGCAAGGAACTCTCTGAAAAGATAAATCAAACAATTCAGATTTCTGCATTCCATAACACAAGAGTTAAATTTGTAAAAGCTATTAAAGTGCATGGGCCAGGTTTCCATTGATTCCCAAGTTGCAGGTGTTGCCGCGGTCCATTTTCATCCTTAACGTTTTCTGATCATGAAGCAAACAAAGAACAGTTTAAAAAAAAGCGAACCATTATTTCATTCATTTTGAGGTTTCAAGTAGTTTTGCTCTAAATTCCTCGGCCGCCGTGATCTGTCTAAGTCACTAGATGATCTGAGCCGCTCTTGCCAGAATAGGACAAATACAGGTATTTCAAATAACAATTTATTTCTCTGTAAAAGAACACAGTACACTATTGTAAAGTTATTATTATTATACTTATTTACGGTCTTTCTGTAGCCTGTGTGGTAAACGTAATCTGACTGATTCAGCTTAGAAACCTTCAGTTAGCTTAACCAGTACAGTCTAGCTCCGTCTGTGACGCAGGCTACGTAGGCTTTCATAATAAAAAGTCCCCCATAATCTAATTTCTTTGGTCTGCCATCTAACTGTCACCAATGCCAATAAGTTACATATTTCTATTTTAGATTCGCAAAAAGGGTTAGTTTTGACCTGTGCTACAGTGGCAAACCAGTAAAAGAAAGCTGCGGGTGAGTGAAATATCTATATATGAGATTTATTTCCTTTTTCCCTATGCACTGTCATCATTACACTTGATTATAGGAATCCCTGCTGAATAACAAAATAGTTCGTCACCTATATCACCTCTAATTTTTTAAACTAAATTTTGCATTTTATATCATTCGTTTAACTACAACTTTCCAAGTAAAGTTTAGTCCTATCCTTGAAAAAGATATTCAGCCGTCATGATCAGATCATACTAAACTGAAGAATCGAGATCATTCTCTTTAGAGGAGATTTGATATTTAAATACAGTTGACCATTATACTGCCCCTCCATCAATCGGCCGAGGCCAGCTTTTAGCCATCCCGGACAAGAGTTTGCCGATCACATCTATTAAGCTGCTTTCAAGGGCTCGTACAATAAGTAATAGCTATAGGTTTGGCTTCATTTTAAACATATGATGAAGGAAAGTACAGTGCAATACACGGGATATTGAGCCCGGTTCAGAGGAAGATTATAATGCCAGTCTGAAAATCAAGCAAAACAAAGCAAAAGAAACAAACAAAAACCGTCAGTCTAGAACTTCCCTAAACTTCAAGGAACATTCCTCTTTTAAAAACAGAATCCCCGTCGGAACAACTACGAAGTGAAAACTACTTTTTTGGCTGTTTTCCAAGAAAATACAATTTCAGGGAAAATTTTCTCTTCTTTTAAATTCAGAAATTATTTTGTGGTTATCAGCGGCAGATCCAGACCTTCAGAAAAGGTCGAGGGGCGCAGCGATCATCCAGCCCCTGAGGTAAGGGAGGGGGGGGGGGGGGGGGGGCGTTCCTCTTTTTTTGTTTCTGGCCGCGTGGGCTCCCTTATGATCTTAATAAATTCATGCGGTCCTCCCCGAGCCCCCCACCCGTCAGTACGACTACTCACCGCTATGCTCGAAAGGTACCGTTGTTCATTCTATGTTGTCCTCTCAAG